GTACACTTTTATATACATTTTTCAATAAAACTGTTTATACTTTTTGATACTTTGTTGTAACTCTGATCCTTATTTCTAACTACTTGTTCTGTCCTCCACTCTCCTACATAGACTCCTCACTGAACTCACCATTAAGATTGAATTAAAGCCAAAAGCTTTGAATAGAGTAAGGGAGGCATATAACCCCTGTCAGCTCCTACTGGGGAGATTACCCCTCACTTTCTGTCCGAGGGCCACAAGAGGAAGTGCAAGGATATTCCTCCAAAGCGATGGAAATGGCTGATGGTCAGCAGGGTCACTAGAACTTCCCAGTTGGAAGATTGCGAAACATTCTCCTTACGGTGCCAGAATGGTTTGCAATCTTCCAACGGGGACACTAGTTATGGTGACCCTGATGACCACCAGAGATTTCCATCCCTTTGGAGGAATATCGTCGCACTTCCTCTTGTGGCCCTCGGACAGGAAGTGAGGGGTAATCTCCCCAGTAGATCCTGACAGGGGTTATATCCCTCCCTTACCCTATTCAAAACTTTTGACTTTAATTCAACCTTAATGGTGAGCTCAGTGAGGAGTCTATGGAGGAGAGTGGAGGACAGAACAAGTATTTAGAAATAAGGATCAGAGTTACAACAAAGTATCAAAAAGTATAAACAGTTTTATTGAAAAATGTATATAAAAGTGTACGTTGGAAGATTTCCCATCAAAATTTGGGATTTTCTTTCAGTGATAACATTCACCAGGACACATAAGGGGGGTGAATCTCCCTAATGGGGACAAAGACAGCAGCAAAGACAATTATGAAACAGAGACTTTTAATAGGTGAATCTTAATGTGGATCTATAACAATTCCACACCAATAAGATATATGAATGTTTGTGAAATGAAAACAAAATTTAATGCAAAAAATTATCATGAGATACAACTCTGCCCCCAACTACATCTCCAACCTACTCTTAAAATACCACCCAAACCGTTCTCTCCCAAGACCTCCTGGTGTCTAGGGTCCTCATCACCTCCTCCTATGCTCCCCTCCAGAGCCTCTTCCATGCTCTGGAACTCCCTACTACAACCTACCCAGCTAACTCATAATCTGTCTGCCTTTATGCGATCCCTCTTTGGGCAGGTTCACACCCTTTTCCGGACCAGATCTGGATGAAACACAGTGCATTGCGTTTTGACTCATTTTTGCTGCGATTTTAGGGCCCATTCACACCACATCTAGATCATCTACAGACCAGACCAGATTGTTTTCGCAACCAAAATGCATGCTAATATATACCTGTGCTAATTCTGGCGTCTGTTCACACCAGCGCAGTCCGTTCCAGACCAGACCAGAAAAATACTGCACGTCTCATCTTGCCTGGTCTGGAATGCACTGGAACTTCGGCAGGTTCACACCATTTTCCTGACCAGATCTGGACCCCAAAATGATGTGAACCTGCCCTTACCAAGATTTTACCGAGATTTTGCAGTGTTTTGGGGCACTTTTTTTTTTTAGCTTTAAATTGGATTTTAGGGGCATTCCAGTGCATTTGTATGTGTTTTTGATGCGTTTCCATGCGTTCCAGTGCATTCCAGACCAGACAAAATGAGACATGCAGTATTTTTCTGGTGTGGTCTGGAACAGACTGCGCTGGTGTGAACAGTGGCAAGAAATAGCATAGATGGTGACAGGGCAGAGCCTCATTTTGAATATGCATAGACTCAAATTCTCCATCAGGTCTGCCTGTGCTGATATCAGGCTCATCCATTGTGCCTCTTGTGTGTCAGATTCAGTGGCCAGGAAAGGATATAAGTAATACTGAGCCTGTGATTTTATTGGGCTTATTGTTACAGAGCTGCACTGGTATGGACACTCCGGCCTCAGTAAGAAACCCCCCCCCACACACACACTGTGCCTCCATTTGTGCCACTTGAGGCGGCCACCTCAGTTGGCCTCATGGGCAGCATGGCCCCGGCACTAACCAGGTAACGTGCATTGTAGTAACATGCACATCACAAAAAGTGTGCATCAGCCCTAAAGGGATTCAAAAGCTCCTTCCAACTATCCCGCACCTGTTCTTGTGTCAAAAAATGGTCCCTCATTATTTTATGTGTTTTTTGCATTCACTCTTGCTACGGGTGTGAAGGCGCACAGCGTTTGTGCATTTAGGCGTGTTTGTTGGGCATCTACATAGAGTAGTCTATTCATTTGAATGGGCTTCCCAACATACGGCAATGAAACTCATGCAGCTGTGTGAGCTTTAAGATTTCTGCTATTTTTTTTAACTTATGTCCATTTACATCAGATTACCCCCAATCCGGCACCATCAGGTCTGTCGAAACAGAACTCTGATCCGTTTGTGTTGCCGGGCCTGGCCAGAGCCATGGGGTAACCAGATGTAAATGGACGCACCCCCATTTAGGTCCGGCTGCCCATAGACTAACCGTGGGCTTCATATCAGGTCCGCCCAGGGCCGGATTTCCCACAAGACCAACTAAGGCCCGGCCTCGATCATCCCTATCCTTGTTTGGGGAAAGGTAATCAGTCAGGTTGGATTTCCGCTGCTGATTGTGATCATCCGGTTCATCAGGTTCAGTGTTGTCTGACCGCTCTCCTCCATTACAATATACATTTTTGCTCATACGATACATTGGGGGGGGGGTTGGCGGCTAGGGGGGCACATTGAGGAACCTGGCCTTGGGGCAGCAGACTGGGGTCCACCTGTCAATTTTTTAGCCCATACAAGGGCTCTAAATGACATAAACTAAACTATACAAAATTGCCCCCCACAAACAAATTCCTCCTAAATAAATTTATATAAACAGTATATTTTTCTCAATCAAATTTCTCCAACGAAGCCGAGAGTTTTCAATTCATGGAAATCAGTAACTTTGCAGCAAAATCAATTTTTTGGGAAATCACCGCTGGTTTCTGTTGACTGCATGTGCTTTACCTTCTGTACAATGTCCTCCCTGCTGCTCTCCCATCCCCCTCCCCTCCATCCATCTTCCACACTGCAATCAATGGTGCGTTCACTGACTTCACCTGAATAAACACCAACAACAAGTCTGTTTACTGAGCAATGCCCCGAACTTTTTAGATAAGCTATCAAGGCCGAAATGACCTTTTAAAACTTCTCAACAAGAAAAAAATAACTATTAGCTGAAGTTTGAATAGCAATTATGATTCTTTATATGTTGTATAGATTCCTCGGGATCTTGCTGGAAGGAGCATGACGTCACCAAAAAAATCAAGCTGGTCATACACCAATAGAACTTTAAAAAAAAAATACATTTTCAGAATGTTCGTTCAATTTTCTAATAGTTAATGTTTAATCGACGATCATTTAAAAAAAACATCGAAGGAGCGGGATGGAAATGTTTCCTCGAGTGAATCAAATTCTAACAGTGAATGTGGTTTTCATTCATAAAACTCCATTCATTCCAAAATCGAATGTTAAAACCCAAACGAAATTTTGAACGACATTCGTCAAGTCTCTGACGGCATTATCGAACGTTCTGTCCGGACTTTTTTCTATGAACCTTTCTACTAGACATGTGCACAGCATAAAAATTAGTTTCAGACGAAACGTATGAAAAGGGAAAAACCTTTTCATTCATTTCATTTGATGAAACGGATAATAAACCTTCAAATCCGAAAGCACACATTTAAAAAACAGAATGCACGGCGACCATATTGGCCACCGGCGCGTTTTGCGCATGCGCACCGCCATCTTGGAGGCGGGTTGCATGACGTTACATGATGCCGGTGTCATATGCATGTATGAGAGCCGCCATCTTGGATGCAGCAAGATGGTGGTGCCCAAAAGAAACAAATTACTATATGCCCGAATATATGTTTCATATATTCAGGCATACATTAATTCATTATATTGGATTTGGATGAATCGTATTTTGGTGTCATTCGGGGGTGACACCAAAAATCATTTTGGTGTCACCCTCTCTAAAAAGTCGGGTACTCGGTCATGGACCAAGAGCCCGACATTGTCAGGAGAGAGGAGGGGACCCGGCGGCATAGCTCAACCCACCGGGTATCAACGTCTCTCGTATATCTCACCGGGTATCAACGTCCCCTCCTCTCTGCCGGAGTCCACCACCAAGATGGCAGCCGGCAGGTGTCAATTAGATGGCCGCGCATGCGCGATGACATCATCGTGCATGCGCAAGGTGACGTCACGCACATGCGTGATGACGTCAGGGTGGGGTGTCACCCGGTCTCCGCTCCGGGTGACACCCAGCCTCGGGACGACCCTGTGCAGTATTCCTGATGGAGAGGTGAGCTCATCAGTCTGCTGCTTCTCCTTTCACAGTCCAATCACAGGCTGGGGGGAGGGACAAGACCTGTAAGTGCAAGTTAACTGAAGCAGTATACAATCAGGTCTTCTGCCTTGTCCAATAGGGCTAGGGCTGTGTTGTGTGGCTGTGAGCTGTGTAAAGCTCAGGACTGGGTGGACAGAAACACAAATCCTTTGGCAAGTAAAACATCTCCCTTATATGAAATGTACATTTAGCTGTTTGCCTGAAGTTTAGCTTTACACACATCATGAGTTAATAGTTTTAATAATATTAATAGTTTCATAGTATTGCAACTGCACTGTCTCCTTTCATTTTGTAAAGCGCTGCACAAACCGCTGGCCATATAAATGTATAAATAGTTATAACTATATAAATCCTGTATGATAATAATAGGGATGAAAGGGATCTCTGCATGTAATAAAATATAAACAAAAGTTACAAACATATTCTACAACTTTTCTCTCTGTGCTATAGAGATATGCATGACGGGCAATCTCCCTCCCATGGGAGTACATCCCATGTTAGTAAATAGGACTATGTCGAGTTTCCCCGATCTGAATGTAGTTTGTAAACTTTGTATCAAAGTGCAGAAAGTTGCCAGCAAAGAAGAGGAAGGCGTGACACAAGCAGAACTTTGTAACCCCGCCCCTTTCATTAGCACGCCCACGGTGGGTGTGTCCCGCTCAGTGTGTGCTGAGCGCTCAGCCTGCTGACAGTCAGTGCACAGTGTGCTGAGTCTGGAGGTGTCTGCGCTTTTGCTGCTGCTGGCTGAGGTCCGCCCGTCCCAGTGATGGGGAGAGTAAGCCTTGGAGCTCCCGGCTAACTCAGCTGTCCTTACCCCTGGCAATGCCCTCTCTCCCTGGCACTGCCCTTGCCTTCCCCACCTGGATTATTGCCTAGTGCCACCTTGCCGAGCTCCACTTGCTGTCGGTGTGCCCTGGCTGCAATCATGCTAAGGAGGATCCTGCTGAGTGTCTTCATGGTGACTGTGATGGGCAGGGGGAGTGCACTGCAGTACGCCAGCGATATGTGCAATTGGAAAGGAAGGTAAGAGACCATTTGTCACCTTGTCTACCCCCTCCCCCCTCCTGGTGACATCTGCAGGGGTGCCAATTTTGTCACCGCACCATCAACGCCTTTTTTTTTTTTCTTCTGCCCTGGCACCCAGATGCTTCTTTTACATTCCAAACTGCAGCAGAGTTTTGGCTTTCAAAGCCAACCCCAAGCCTGATCTTAAAGTTTATTACTTACAAAATCTCAAATATCTCTCTGTGTCATTGACGACCCCATCGATGATTTTTGGGATTTGCAGTAGGGACTTTATGAAAGCTACTTAGAGATTGCGAATTTACACTGGCACAACATTTCTTAGAAATGGCTACAAAGTGTTCTTAATAGCAGATTGAGGGTATCATATAGAACACATGGGTATGCTAGGGGTAGAGGACATGCTGGGGCTTGTAGTCCCATAGCCACAGCTTGACCCTAATCCCTACAGATGATGGACACTGTGTGACAACTGACCTCTTTAAAATCCCAGCCACCACCCCATCCAGGTAGCATCTTGCTCCTTTTGGATTTGACATGATTTCTGTATTTTTTTTGGATGTGCTGCTCAGTTGCAAATGAATTGCACCAAGCGCAGACTTTTATTCCCCATGTAGAAGCGCAGACTGCCACAGAAGCACTAGCAGAGGAGCCAAATCTACTATAGGAATGCTACAACTGCATTCTAGCGCTGCCTGCGTCCCATGAAACGCCTTTACAAGTCACAAACAGCCTGTCAGCTCAGACTCTACAATGGACAATAAAGTCATTACATGTTTTTTTTTCCTCTTCCCTCCTTCGGTTTTATATTCTACAGCTGATTGAAGTCAAAGGTTGACTCTGTGTGCTTTTTTTTTTTTTCTTTCCTCAACTCAAAGTCTGCTCTGCCCCATCCCAGTGGTTGTAGGAGAGCCTGATCATCAGGTGGTCCCTGGGCTCACAGAGTCCTCTTTGTGCCAACTGCTAGAAAACAGCCTCACTTCTAGAAAGTGGCAAAACTTTGTGTACCTGGAAGTCATTTTTGTGTAAAAAATATCAAGCCTGCCCGTTCCCTAATAGGCAGCATGGCTGTGGTGCCACAAAGTGCCACTTATATGCCATGGTGGGTTTTGAAGTAGCCATCATAAGACTGCTGGCGCACAAGGCAACCACTACCCACAGGTAGAACTCTTAATTTCCTGTATGCAGCTGTGGGTGGCATTTTTACTATGGAAGTTACTCATAACTTTGTCACTTATGTGATTGACATGCTCTGTGTGTAACAGGAGGAGTCAATGCTAACGAGCTGTAATGCTTGATCGTCACATTTTAATAAGTTGCATTTATTACAGGTTTCATGTATATTAAAGCTTTATCATACAGGCTAAATTATGAATATAAAGGTTGACTGTAGAGGCACTGGGCGAGTTAGATGGTTGCACTTGGCATGAGGGCCATCGACTGGTCTAAGGGCCATCGATTGGTCAGCTGTGTTCTATGAAAATGTATTCTATGCAAACTGTTATCTCTTGAGAATATGTTCTGTGAAGTTTACATCATCTCCCTTTCATCTCCCCCTATGTTCTCGTGCTTTGACTTTCCCTTGCAAATGCCTTCAAGCTTGACTTGAGTCAAAAAGTGTCTTGATCACCATTTGCTTTATCACGTACTAAGAGAATCAAAATTTCCATGCATTGCAACTTGATCATAAGGCTGCATTGTACTTTTTTTGTAACCTCTGCATAGAATTGAAATAAAGGGTGATGAGTTTGCGTCTCTAGTGCCCCCCTGGCCAGTCGAGTCATCGGTTTTTAAACTTTGCTTAACTCCTTAAGAACAAGACAACTAGTCGAGACAAGTTTAGCGATCCGTAATCTGTTACATTATGTAGGATCTGGTTTAATCTTTCACCAGCCGAGAAGGCAATCTTTCTGGTTTATGCAAAGCAATGTTTGCTGAGACGATGAAATCTCCAGCCAGTGACATCAGTTCTCCCCCCCCCCCCCTTTGGT